TATACTTTGAGGTCTTGCCAAACTCAGGGGTATAGCTCTTCAGAAAGAAGGCTAATTGATAACCCATTTGTGTTATATTTAACTTAGTTCCTTCCGCTACTACCAGAATACAACTGAGTGTACGTATTGAGAATCAGAACTATTTTTAAAGAAAACATTTACTAGTTGGTAAACTCAGTTTCTCAGAATGTGCATTTTCCTACTACCTTAAAACTATATCCCAACACTCAACTGCTTTTAAGACAATGAAGTTTTAGGATGAAAAATGCAACATGGCGCTTTCCTTTAAGAGAATTTATGCAGAACACTAAAGCACAGAACACTCTATTTGTTTTACATTTTATCTAACCTTAAATACAAATTTTCTTCTAGATAACTTTGAAATTAACTTGAAAGATCAATTCCCTTTAGAAAAATGGGTGACAAGTTCCTGATTGAACAAAAAAGCCGTTTATTTAAGCAGCTGTAACTGAGAATGAGAAGTATGACAGAAATAATTTGTACATTTAAAAAGATACTAGATGGTAGTTGGGATGTTTCAAAAGGACGTTCCCTTAAATTGGCTATCCCATAGCCAATGAAAGAAAATTTTCCATTCTTTTATTCAGTGTCACAAGACTACTTACATTAAATAAAGGCCACAAAGCATCAGTCAGAGAGCTTGATGCTAAATTTCCTATAAAAGCTTGGTAGCCTTAATGAGCTTAGATGCAGAATGAAAACAAGTATAAACTGGAGATCGAGTTAGTAGCAAGGAGTGACATCTGAGAATGGTCGAACAAAGAAAACTCTGTGCCCAAAGTGCATGTCCTCATTGTTTTGGCACTTAGGATGAGATCTTTACCCACCCAACAGGGCTGATACTTAGATTGGATAATTTCAATCTATGTGGATACTCCTTCCTAGGTTTTCATTACGAATTGGGTAATTTAAAACCGTTAATTAGGAAACTTACTTTGGTAAAACGTCTAAAACTAGGTGACATTAAACCATGCAATAATTGGTTGATTACCTTAAACCATAACAATTCAAGACTAAACCTCATGTGATTAATTCCCACAATTTGTTGTGATTAGACTGTAACAGATCCTCTACCCAACTTTGAACAACAACAAAAAAAAGTAAGACATTTTCTACAAACTCCATCATTTTAAATCCATTACTACATTTAGGGGAATTTTAAGAATTAAAAAAACCAGCGTAACAAAGCCTGCATAATCCAACCTAAGAATTTTCTCATCAACCTACCTAACAAAGTTGTGAGGATGTTGAGGTAGCGTATTATGAAGCATTTTGAGCTCTTATTAGGAAAAGAGCCAAAAAAAAAAAAAAAAAGTAAGTGGCTATGTTATCATTTTATTACTGTTTTTCATTAGATGGCGTCATGTACATGACAGATTATTTTAATGACATCACAAAATAGGCTACTAAAACAATTTAATGCTTGTAACATGACCACATGATGTTAAGAATCACTAATTTTTAGAGCAGAAAAGAATACTCCAAAAATAGGATCTGACTTTATAAAGTGGTTCTGGCTTATACAGTCACTGAGACTTACCATATACTCTATACTAGTCTGTAGCAGAGTTCATTGTTATGGGTTACACATTTAACCTAGTAAATTGCATTAATATGCACAATTTTTTAAAAAACTCCATTTTCAATATTTAAGTCTGTTAGAGTTTAAAAAGCTTAAAACCTCAAAAGCCACGTTAAAGGCTAAAAGTACTTAAGTATGCTATAATGTTGCTACAAAAAGGGCCTTTAAGCAGCAAGGAGCATCAATATAATTCACAGCTCTGACTCTTGTGATTTAGAGCAAACAGTATTTTCCATGGGCTGGTTATTTGTTGATAACACACCACCAAAATATTAAGCCGAAGTTTATAAATTTAAGACAAAAGACAAACTCTAATACAGGAACTCTTATCCAGATTGTCATGGACAGACTTGGAGGGGAAGGTGCCCAAAAGGTCCCTGAAACTGTATCCTGAAATCTACGGAGAGAATCCATATCCTCAAATAGTTTCTCATCCCTTCAGAAGGTAAAGAACGACTTTTCTAAGAGAGACAAGGAAAAAGCTTCTGAAGAGAACTTTTAGTTTGATGCTACAGCCACAGGAACACAACTTAAGATCTCAATCGCATTAAGGGTCCCCCCACCCCAGGTCCCTTCTTTTAACTTACTTTTTGCTACGTTCTTCATGGCCGTTAGCACTGCTCAACTTGTTCTCATCCTAAGCAGGGTTGATAGAAGAACATCATGAGGACGAAGTGGTAACATTTCAAGTTGTCAAAGGGTAAAGGGAATAGGAATAAGAAAATACAAAACAATTTTAAAACTAATTACTTGTTTATAGTTTAACATGGAAGGCTATAAAAAAATTTAGATGGGTATGTGTTTAACCACTTTGTTGCTTACAATTAAGTCATCAAGATACAAAAATAAAAATGCATATTAACATGTTAAATTTTACTTTCTTATATAGTTAGATATTAAGTTATCCAGATTTACAGGGTTGAAGTGGTTAAATAGAATTTCTATAAAACATGAATGAAGTCCTGTTTTGAGTTTTATTCCATGTGCTATGGTCCCTTTGGTCAGTACCATGGCTCTATTTCTGCCTAAGCCCCAAGTGGCCATGCTAGCAGCCAGCCACTATCGATTTCCTGTGACCGATGCCATTCCTGAGATCTTCGCCCATTTCCGTTGGAGGGTTGGGACTGTAAGAGCTTGATGCCACCTCTGTCACACATCTCGCCCTGAAGCAAACAGGGATTCACACTGCTTTAGTAATGTTGACTCCCAAGAACCCAAGAAAGTCAATTAATAATCCACCAGTCCAGCCTAAACATTTCCTACTTCCATACCTGTTTACATGGAATTACATCCATGTTAAACTAAGACACAAGAATCTTAACATTAAAACAGAAAGTAGTTCTTCGAGTCTAAGCATTATAAAACTACATACACTATTTAAACTAAAAAGAATTCTTCCAAATTGGTACCACATGGTCGTGCTATACACTCCAAAAACAGATGTATTATTTCAAAAGGTTTAGCGCAATGTTTATTTTTAAAGTTTGATCACATCAGTTATAGAAGTATAAGTGCTAACAACTCAAAGCTTACAGTTTGCGACACCAGTGATAATGCATGCATACTGCTATTTTCACCACCAACTGGTGAAAGAATGAAAAGACACTTTACTTTTACTGTGATACTGAAATGGGTCAGACTATACTACTAGCCAAAATAATTCCTTTGTAGCTTTTAGTGTGAAATATTATGGCAGGGACTAATTAAAAATAAAACAACACGGAGCACAGTAAAACAGTCATCAAGTGACTCTAAGTTGTGATACTGCCTCCTTTGCTTTAAAAAATTTTTCTATTCAGGGATCCAAGAATTTCAGTAATTTTTAACTGAGCAGATCATCACCTGCCTGTTTCATTATTTACTATCACCAGTCATATATATATATATAAAAAAATTTTAAATCTCACCCATTTCTTGTAAAACTTAAAGATTTGCTTGCCACAGACTGGTTATGCTTTGTTATTCTTGGACCCCTGCTATTTTCCCAAACCACTACATTCACCTTTTTGCTATACCAAACTGGAGCTGGTAATTCTTAGTTGAGTCATTTTACCTAGGGGACCACGGTACAGCGATAAGTCACTCAATTACTACCTTATGATTGACAGTTCACACTGGAATCAAAGGTGAATTCATGGGAGTAGAGGTGAGATATCGTTAGGCAAGTCTACAAAGAGAGATAGATGGGCATTTATTCATCACGCTGAAGTGAAACTACTGCACAATATTATTACATCAATAGCATATATTTACTTTTCTAAGTTACACGTAATGCATCTCTGATAAGATAAATCAAGAGGGCTCCGGGGAGGTTAGTTTACATTTCAGCAGTAGTTTCGTGATAATGCTAAATTAAGAAATATATAAACCTCACCGACATGTTTTTTCTCACCTTCTTGTAAGGAGCCTCAAGCATTGCTTCAATATCAATATCGTCTGCCATTTTCTCTAAACGTCTAGAAAATAAGAAAGGTAATTCAGTGAGTAAACATTTTTTCAATTCCGATCAGTCTCCTCCTTATGCGACAAACTCCGAAACTTCAGAAAAACCTTCAAAAAGCCCTGGAATGACTAAAGTGGCAGGATGCACTTTACCAGGCTTAGTAATTAAATCTGAAATGTCTCCAAGACTGAACACACGGAAATACATTAAATGTACGATTAAAAAAAAAAAGCCCACAATTAACTGCAAAAACAGAACCCGCGCGCGAGTAAGAGCGCCTCTTTCCGCGCAAAACCCGCGCTGCCATTTTAGGGGCAAAGGGAAACTCCCTCGGTTGGGAGGGGTTGTGTGCCATGGTAGCGTTCGGCTGGCGCCATGTTGGGAGGTCGCAGCCGGCCAGGCCTGGAAGGAAACGGTCGCCATCCGCCCGAAGCCTCTCTGGAGTCCCTGCCACCCAAGAACCATGAAATCTATACGACCGGAAAATAAGGGCGCGGTCGCCGAAATGGAGCCGATTTCTCGAGCCCCCCCCCCCCCGCCCCCCGGAGTCGTTAAAGACCGCCTAAGGAGTGCCCCTCAAACCAGACGAAACCCAGATCTCTGAAAAGCTCTGACAATACACAGGCCTGCGACATCTCCTTACCTGTGCGGGCTTTCGGGCCCCTGGGATGCTTGTATTCGGAAAGAGGGGGGCTGCTGCTGCTGCCGCTGTTGCTACTGTTAAGCCGCTAGGCCCAGGCCGAGGTTCCGCCCAGCCCGAATTTCGGGCTCCGAGGGCGGATAGGCCCGAGCGAATCTAAAAGAAACAATGGGATTAAAGGAGCCCGCGCGGAAGTTCAGGACGGCGGCTTCGGCAGCTCAGGATCCACCCCTGCGACAGCCTCAGCAAGCTCTCTGAAATGGCGGCCGCTGCTTCCCCGTACTCACATCCACCAACACACATACACACACAAACACACGGGGTCTCACAGAGCTCTCAGCACGGGCTCTCGCGAGAAGCTGCCTCTAGTTCCAGACAGGAGCAGCTGAAATATCGCGAGATATAAGCATGGCCCCAGCGACCATGGCCCAATCTCGCGCAATGATTGCGCCACAGATATTCCCATCCCCCACTCAGAGCGGAGCCTTTGACACCCCCTCCACATGGACGTCCGTATCTCGCGAGACCGCGCAAGACGCTAGAGCAAAGACAGTTGGTACACTTCCTGTCAATCTTTTTAAAAACTGAACGCTGAGTGGAGCTCGGTGGTCGCCTCCTCCTTGTGGCGCCTCCTCACAGCTATCTGAAGGTTTCTCTCCCAGCGCTGACCGCCTTTCCCCTCCCCCGGGCCTCCCACCCTGGTGTCTGTCAAGGTCGCCATAAGGGAACCTAGTCCATATGGCGATAGAATGCAACGAAAACCGCCATGTATAGATTCTCCGCCAAGAGTGAAGAAGTGAAAAGCATGTAAAAGAGAAGGCAAGAAAAGACCATATGGGGCTAGGAGGCTATGGGTGTAGAATAAAAATTAGATATTCCGGCCTTTTGGAGCCAGTGGGCTAGCTAGGCACGACTAACTAAAGACCCTTGGAAATAGTGGAGAAAAGCAAAGAGAAGGTGAAAAAACAAACTGCTTCCCTTGGCAATGGATCAGCTATTTATGCCCTGGAATTTTATAGTCTGGCCTTGTGTCGGGTTGCTATTGTTTCTTCAAAAATGTCCCCCATTCCCTTGGGACTTGGCTTCTCGCCCCTTAAGTTTCCCAAATACCTGGCAGTTAAGAGTATACAAGCACCACCTGTTCTCTGGTCAACACTGAAAAAGAGGCAGCAGAGAGGTTGACTATAAGGCTTTTTCCTCCAAGATAAAAATACTTGAAAAAAAATATTTGAAAAACATTAGAGGACTTACAACCAAAAAATCTTACAGGTAAGTCTATTAACAGCTTAGCGATTGAAGGTTAAGATTTGACATGAGATAATTTGGTTCTTGTAAGCTGCTCCAACACTGTGTGACCTTGGACAAGTAAATTAATCTCTCAGAGCCTATCCTCCATTTCCTCTTATGAAGAAGGGGGTAGCATAATTACTGGGCTAAGCTTCTTGAGATTGACCTAGGCTGATAATGCTCACAACTGAATTCTCAGTGTTTAGCCTGGTGCCCAGCCAGGAGGACACTCAATAAATGAATGAAGACCTAACAGGAGTACAGTGAGGATTAAATGAGATAGTGTCTGTAAAGTACCTGGCAAATATTTAATCCTCAGGAAAGCTAACTTCTGTTATTGCTAAACAATTACTTAGAGGAAATGTAAGTGTAAAGGGACTTTACACTTCTGGTTAATTTTCCACACAGGTGTTTCTCTTAGAGGATTAATAGATGTTACATAGTAATATTCCCTTACTCCTTTTCCTGAAAATTCAGATCCTCTTTTAAATTTTTTAAGTATTGAAAATCATCACAGAACATTAAAGCATAATATGCTCAAGCTAACAAAAAAAAAACAAAGCTAACCTTTGCCTTCTCTTTGCCCCTTTAATTCTATTATTGTGACTTGTTAATTGGGCAAATATCAGACCAAAAAGGTGGTCACTTAATAATTTGTTTGTTTGGGAACATGACAACACAATTTGACTTTAACCTCTAGACTTATTTGGGAATAGGAAAGTTTTAAGCTTTCAGTCACTTGATTATTGAATATCTCTTAAATTGTTTTCTGTTCAAGGATGATCAGAGTGAACCTGGAAATTTAGAGCACAATCAAGAAACACCAGCTGGAAAACTCTTCTCTAAAACAAAAGTATTTTTTATGTTTAAAGAAAATATTAACATAATATGTTTTTCATTCATTTTGCAAAGCCTGCCTCTGTCTGGCTTATGGACATTCTGTGTAAATTAATTCCCCTTTCATCATTTTGTTCTCATTTGAACCAAAACGTCATTGGTTTAAATCATCTCCACCATCAAAAATATTATTCTGTTTTATAACTTACAGAGAAGAGGTCACAGAATAACCAAAAGCCTGGAATAGAGGAGGTAATAGATAGAGAATTTGACTTTAAATTTAAAATATTTTGCCAATGTCAGGACACCTGGCTGGCTCAGTCTGTGGAGCATGCAACTCTTCATTTCAGAGTTGTGAGTTCGAGCCCCATGTTGCATGTACAGATTACTTAAAATCTTAAAAATATATTCTGCCATGGGGTGCCTGGGTGGCTCAGTTGTTAAGGGTCTGCCTTCGGCTCAGGTCATGGTCCCAGGGTTCTGGGATCGAGCCCTGCATTGGGCTCCCTGCTCCGAGGGAAGCCTGCTTCCCCCTCTCCCACTCTGCCTGCTTGTGTTCCCTCTCTCACTGTTTCTCTGTCAAATAAATAAAATCTTTTTAAAAAAAAAACATTATGGGGGCACCTGGGTGGCTCAGTCGTTAAGCGTCTGCCTTCGGCTCAGGTCATGATCCCAGGGTCCTGGGATCAAGCCCCGCATCAGGCTCCCTGCTCCACGGGAAGCCTGCTTCTCCCTCTCCCACTCCCCCTGCTTGTGTTCCCTCTCTCGCTGTCTCTCTCGCTCTGTTGAATAAATAAATAAAATCTTTAAAAAAAAAAAAAAAACACATTATGGGGCGCCTGGGTGACTCAGTTGGTTAAGCGACTGCCTTCAGCTCAGGTCATGATCCCAGAGTCCTGGGATCGAGTCCCACATCGGGCTCCCAGCTCAGCGGGAAGCCTGCTTCTCCCTCTGACCCTCTCCCCTCTCATGCTGTTTCTCTCTCTCAAATAAATAAATAAAATCTTAAAAAAAAAAAAATACATTATGCCAGTGTTTTTTGATATCAGTGTATGACTTTTATGGGCAGAGAGTGCTATTTTTGATACTTGCATTTTTTTTTTTTTAATTAAGTAGGTTCCACACCCAGCATGGACCCCTAAGCAAGGCTTGAACTCAACAACTCTCAGATCGAGATCTGAGCTGAGACCAAGTCAGATTCTTAACCGACTGAGCCACACATGCACCCCTGCATTTTTTTTTAAACAAATGTCTATTTTATTTTTTAAAAAGGATTTTATCTATTTATTTGACAGAGAACACAAGTAGGCAGAGCAGCAGGCAGAGGGAGAGGGAAAAGTAGGCTCCCCACTGAGCAGAGAGCCTGAGCAGGGCTCCATCCCAGGACCCTGGGATCATGACCTGAGCCAAAAGCAGACATTTAATCAACTGAGCCACCCAGGCGCCTGCATTTTTTTTAAGTAGGCTCAACACCCAGCATAAGGCTTGAACTCATGACCCCAAGATCAAGAGTTGAATGCTCTACAGACTGAGCCTGCCAGGTGTCCTTTGATACTTGCATTTTAAAAACTAATATTCAATTTATAAAGTAAGTGCATTTTAGGGGCGCTTAGGGGGCTCAGACGGTTAAGCATCTGCCTTCGGCTCAAGTCATGATCTCAGGTCCTGGGATCAAGCCCCACATTGGGCTCCCTGCTCAGCTTCTCCCTCTCCCTTTGCTTGCTGCTTCCCCTGCTTGTACACACACTCTCTCTGTCAAAAATAAATAAAATCTTAAAAAAAAAAGTAAGTGCATTTTAATAGTTATCTTTAAAACTTAAAGACTCACAATTTTAAAATTGTATTTATGAAGCAAAAATTTTAAAATCACCTTCACTTTATTTTATTTATTTTTTTAATAATTTTTTTTTAATTTATTCATTTGAGACAGAGAGAGAGAGAGAGCAGGAGCAGTGGGGAGAGGCAGAGGAAGAGGGAGAAGCAGACTCCCTGCTGAGCAGGGAGCCCAATGTGGGGCTCGATCCCAGGACCCTGGGATCATGACCTGAGCTGAAGGCAGACGCTTAACCATCTGAGCCACCCGGGCGCCCTATTTTTTTTTTTTTAAGATTTTATTTATTTATTTGACAGAGAGAGAGAGAGACAGTGAGAGAGGGAACACAAGCAGGGGGAGTGGGAAAGGGAGAAGCAGGCTTCCCACTGAGCAGGGAGCCCGATGCGGAGCTCGATCCCAGGACCCTGGGATCATGACCTGAGCCGAAGGCAGACGTTTAACAACTGAGCCACCCAGGCGCCCCTCACCTTCACTTTAACCATTCAAGTTGAGCATGGGACACCTGAGTGGCTCAGTCAGTTAAGTGTCTGCCTTTGGCTTGGGTCATGATCCCAGGGGCCTGGGATCCAGTCCCACATCAGGCTTTTTGCTCGGTGGGGAGTCTGCTTCTCCCTCTGCCTGCTGCTGCTTGTGCTCTCTCTCTCTCTCTCTGACAAATAAATAAAATCTTTAAAAATAAAAATAAATAAATAAATAAATACAGCTTGAACAGACAAAACTCTTCAAAAAAATGAGTCCCATTTACTTTAGACAAATTTCCTCAAATTTAGTATGCTTTTATCATTTTTTTTAAATGTATGTTCATTGGCTCCCTTGGTTTTTTTGTTTTGTTTTTTTAAGATTTTATTTATTTATTTGACAGAGAGAGAGACAGCGAGAGAGGGAACACAAGCAAGGGGAGTGGGAAAGGGAGAAGCAGGCTTCCCACAGAGCAGGGATCCCGATGTGGGGCTCGATCCCAGAACCCTGGGATCATGACCTGAGCCGAAGGCAGATGCTTAATGACTGAGCCACTCAGGCCCCCCCTTTTATCATGTTTTTTGATGTCAGTTCTACACCCAACATGAGGCTTGAACTCACCATCCCAAGATGAAGAGTCACACTCTACTGACTGAGCCACCCAGGCACCCCCTTTTATCATTTTAACATGTATTATTTTGAGCACTTTAACTTTCCCAAGTATGTAAACAATTCTTCTAAATCCAAGATATTAAAATTATAGAGGGGTGCCTGCTGGCTCAGTTAGTAGAGCGTGTGAATCTTGGTCTTAGAGTTGTAGGTTCAGTCCCATGTTGGGTATAGAGATTACTTAAGAAAATATATATATATATATATTTTTTTTTTTTTTTTAAGAGAGGGAGAGAGGGGGGTGGAGGGCAGAGGGAGAAGGAGAGAGAGAGAATCTCAAGCAGGCTCCATGCCCAGTGCAGAGCCCAATGTGAGGCTCGATCTCACAACCCTAAGATCATGACCTGAGCCAAAATCAAGAGTCAGATGCTCAGCTGACTGAGCCACCTAGGCACCCTAAAAATAAAATCTTAAAAAAAAATTACAAATATAGTTAGTCTTAAAATTTCTTAAAATTTTCTGATGTGGTTTCCTATACCTTTCCACATAAAATCACAAATCTCAATCATTCAATCATACATATTTAACTAGAATCTTTAGTATGCAAAATTCTCTTAAACATTACAATTTAATTTATAAATATATACAAAGTACCCCTAAACTTAATATAAAAGTTTTAAGGGGCACCTGGGTGGCTCAGTCAGTTGTGTGTTCAATTTCAGCGTGGGTCATGATCTTGGGGTCATGAGATCCAACTCTGCATCCAGCTCCATGGTCAGCAGGGAGTCTCTCTCTAAAAATAAATAAAATAAATCTTAAAAAAAAATTTAATATGAAAGTTTCAAGACATCATATCTATCTATATATATTTTTAAAGATTTTATTTATTTATATGACACAGAGAGACACAGCGAGAGAGAGAACACAAGCAGGGGGAGTGGGAGAGGGAGAAGCAGGCTTCCCCCTGAGCAGGGAGCCCCATGTGGGACTCGATCCCAGGACCCTGGGATCATGACCTGAGCCGAAGGCAGACGCTTAACGACTGAGCCACCCAGGCGCCCGACATCATATCTATATTTAAAATTAAACCTCTCTGTATAAAAAAAACACCAATAAGAGAAGGATTTTATTACCTGAAAAAACTTGTGATTGACATTACAGGAGAATGCAGATATGCAGACACTAACTCAGAAGACCAAGGTTCCTTTTTGACCAGAGTTTTTCACCTGGAGCAGAGACTGCAGTGGCATAGTCTGCCTGATAGTTTCCAGCAATATTATTGAGCCACTCTCAGGCACAATGAACCTTTATTTTTCCCTAATTATGACAGCAAGAAACTCAAGCCTCTTCATACAGATGGAATTAATTTTGCCACCTGCATTCGGGTGTATGAAATTATCATTCCCCCTTTAGTACTTGATTGTCTAATCAATTTACTGATTGAATTTGGCATTTGTTTCAAAAACTTGTCTCTCTACTGGCCATAATGTCAGGGGCATTGTAGTCACATATCCCAGAGGAATTTTCATCAATTTGAGAATGATTAGTCCTTAAAAGAAGAGGAGCTGTTTCAGGGGTACATCACTAGCCACTTATTTAAGGCTGATACCATGAACTGCAACTCTTATAATTTTGCTTGGTATCACCAACAGAGAATCCTGTCCCTCAAACTCAAGATGCAGGGGTTTTTTTTGTTTTTTTTATTTGAGAGAGAGAGAATGAGAGACAGAGAGCATGAGAGGGAGGAGGGTCAGAGGGAGAAGCAGACTCCCTGCCGAGCAGGGAGCCCGATGCGGGACTCGATCCAGGGACTCCAGGATCATGACCTGAGCCGAAGGCAGTCACCCAACCAACTGAGCCACCCAGGCGCCCCGCAGTTTTTTTTTTTAATTAATTTTTTTAACGTGCAGTTTCTTAAGAGCCTATGTGAACTAGATAAGGAAACAACAATTGATGTTTTGGCCGGAGTTTAATACTTGGTTAAAAAATTACAATGTCAGGGGGCCTGGATGGCTCACTCAGTTAAGCATCTGCCTTTGGCTCAGGTCATGATCCTCGAGTCCTAGGATCGAGTTCCGAGTTGGGCTCCCTGCTCAGTGGGGAGCCTGCTTCTCCCTCTTCCTCTGGCCCTCCCCCCAACTCATGCTCATGCTCACCCGAGGACACTCTCTCTCTCTCTCAAATAAATCTTAATAAAAACAAAGTACAATGTCTTAACCTCCCATATTTATGGGATCAAGAAAACTAAGGGGCACTCATGAATAAGGTGATAATATAGCCCATTTGTCCATTCCATGGGCAAAAGAATTGTCCAAAATATTATTTTAGCTTGAAAACAAAAGTGAAAAAATTCAATATAACAAAACATAATTTAGAATACTCTTTTGGAATTTTATTAGTGAAATATACCGTTTACTAATTCATTCAATAAATATTTAGCACCTTCAGTATTTTCAGCACTCTGCAGGACAATTTGTGGGTACAAAATAAAAGCACAGTCTCTTTCCTTCAAGAGTTTCCAGGTTAGGGCGCCTGGGTGGCTCAGTCGTTAAGCATCTGCCTTTGGCTCAGGTCATGATCCCAGGGTTCTGGGATCGAGCCCCACATCGGGCTCCCTGCTCCACGGGAGGCCTGCTTCTCCCTCTCCCACTCCCCCTGCTTGTGTTCTCTCTCTCGCTGTGTCTCTCTCTGTCAAATAAATAAATAAA